GGTTTTGTGCTGACCTAGAAAAAAGGTGGAGTGTGGACACTCCCGCCAACCCACTTCTTGTCCTCACCCCGGGACTCTTGACAACATTTCTCCTTTTCCCACTCTCGCGTTTTCTTTTGGAGAAGGTTGAAGGTCCCGGGAGGGCCATCACCCGACGGGACCCTCCTTTATTCTGTTTGGAGATGTATGCCCTACCTCGCTCCTCGCTCTGGGTTTGGCCTATGCTCTGTGGGTTAGGGTTGGGTCAGAGATGAATCTCACAAACCCTGGGTCAGCCTAGTGACTCTGAAAGGCCCGGGCTCTGATTTTGACCCTAGTGACAGAACCAGCGAACAGTTAGAAAACTTACATCATTGGGCTGTGTAAAGTAATTGGCTTGCAGAGTAAGCAAGCGTGAGGATCTGAAATCGGATCCCCAGCAACCGTGTAAAAAGCTGGGTGTGTCGGTTGGGGCCTGTTAGCTCAGCACTGGGAAGGCAGACGCAGGAAAGATACAGGACTTGTTGGTCTGGCAGTCTAGTTGAATCAACGAGCCCCATGTTTAGTAAGAGACTGACCATCTCAAAAAACTACGGTGGAGAGCGATAGAGGGAGACACCTGACGTCCACCTCTGGTCCGTGCGCACCCATCACACTCACACTCTCACAAAATAACTTATTAAGAAAAGAAAGAAAAGTTGTCTAGGTGTGTCAGGGATAGCACTCAGAAGCAGTTGTCCCAGGTGGCATCTCTGTGCCCACAAGGACATAGATGAGACATCGCTGGTAATTTCATGGCCTCAGGATTATCAATGCAGAGAAATCCGAATTCAATGAGGATCAGGCTGCTTGCGGGAAGCTGTGCATCCGGCGATGTTTATTTGGGATTGCGGAAGATCAAGAGTGGCTGACGGTGTGCCCAGAGGAGGTGAGTCCAGCCCTGCCTGAACCCCACTTTCAGGCTAGGACCAGGATGTGCTTGGTGGAGTCTGACAGTCCTTCCTGTGCAGTTCCTCACAGGTCATTACTGGGCACTGTTTGATGGGCACGGTGGACCTGCAGCAGCCATTTTGGCTGCCAACACCCTGCATTCCTGCCTGCGCCGGCAGCTGGAAGCCGTGGTAGAAGGCATGGTGGCTACTCAGCCCCCCATGCACCTCAGTGGTCGCTGTGTCTGCTCTAGTGACCCCCACTTTGTGGAGGAAAAGGGCATCCGGGCAGAAGACTTGGTGATTGGGGCCCTGGAGAGCGCCTTCCAGGAATGTGTGAGTGGGGCCTTTGGGGAGAAGGGAAGTTTTCCCCTAGGGACGTAAGAAACTGGGGTATAACTGCATACCATAGTCATCCCATTCCTTGGGTTGTGGAGAGGTGGTTGTGTTGATTTGTTCGTTCCTAGTCATAGCCTGTGGTCTTCAGCTTAACACTCCATTTATCTAGTTCCTGCAGTGTGCTCATTGCTCACCTGTGCTGCTGCTTGGACCTCAGAGCAAGCACTGGTTTCTCTTCCTATTTTGAGTTACACTTCCCTTGTGTAAATTCTCTGTACACAGGAATTTGGGAGCTAATGGTCAAGCTTTTGAGCTGGGATGCGTAGGCTTGCTTATGGGAATGTATGGGGTGGGGTGGGGTGGAGGGCTGGAGATGGCTGCCAGTTTGGGCAGCAGCTATGATGCCTTTGGTTTGCTCCAGGATGATGTGATTGGGAGAGAGCTGGAGGCCTCAGGCCAGGTGGGTGGCTGTACAGCCCTGGTGGCTGTGTCCCTGCAGGGGAAGCTGTATGTGGCCAATGCTGGGGATAGTAGGTGAGTGGACCCTTGGAGGGTGGGCAGGGTAGTGGGTAGGAGGGTACCAGAGGGGGTTAAGACAGTAAAAGGAGGGTTAGAAATGAGTGGGACTGGCTGACCAGGATGTAAGTATAAAGATGGACAGTGATGCCAAAGCAGGCAGAGGCTACTAGAGGGCTGCACCTTTACTCTGTAGGGCTTAGGCAGTCATGGAGGGATTTGAACAAGGGATCAGCAAGGCCAAAGTGGCCCCTGGTGGTTGGAGAAGGGTGGTAGGGGGGTGGCCATGGGTGAATATGGAAGTTGTTTCTTCCCCACCTCCAACCTACTTAGAGCCATCTTGGTGCGGAGAGATGAGATACGGGTGCTGAGTACTGAGTTTACCCCAGAAACAGAGCGGCAGCGGATCCAGCAGCTGGTAGGTGCTCTTGGCAGAGGGACCCCTAACTCCCTGGGTCAAGGGCCACACAGGGCCCTGGAAAGGGAGCCTGATCTGAAATTGGCCTCCACACCCTAGGCCTTTATCTACCCTGAGCTTCTAGCTGGTGAGTTCACCCGACTGGAGTTTCCACGACGGCTGAAGGGGGATGACTTAGGAGAGAAGGTTTTGTTCAGGGATCATCACATGAATGGCTGGTGAGCTGCTGGGATGGGGGCAGGGTGGGAAAAGGTCCAGACTCACCTGTATGTCCTGAGGCAGTCCTGCTTGGGCAAGGTGGGCATGTGAAGTTGTGGTAGCTGGGTTTGGGGATGGGAGAAGCTGCAGTAGGGTGTGGGCCTTTGGGCGATTAATTCTAGGTCTGCTCCTGCAGGAGCTACAAACAGGTGGAGAAGTCTGATCTCAAGTACCCACTGATTCACGGACAGGGTAGGCAGGTCAGTAGCCCCTGCCCAAGAATCCCTCTTTAGTTGCTCCCTGAAGGTGGGAATTCTTTTGTCCCTCCCTAGTGGCTGTGCTGGTACCCTGGGGTCTGTTCCATGTTTCTCCCTTAGAAGCCACCATTCACGTCCCCCTTTGTGTCAGCAGAGTCAGACACCGGGCATGTGCTAAGCTCCTATCACCGCATCCTCCCCTTTCCCCCAGGCTCGGTTACTAGGAACACTGGCCGTCTCCCGAGGCCTGGGAGATCACCAGCTCAGAGTCCTGGACACCAACATCCAGCTCAAGCCCTTCCTGCTCTCCATCCCACAGGTGATAGAGCAGTGTAGCCCACCCCAGCTTCCAACTGCCCAGAAAGGGCAGAGAATGAACCTGGTAGGAGCTGGGAAGGGAACCCTGGAGGATCCTCAGGCTTAACTTGCAGGTGACTGTGCTGGATGTGGACCAGCTAGCATTGGAAGAGGAGGATGTGGTCATCATGGCAACTGATGGGCTCTGGGATGTCCTGTCCAATGAGCAGGTGGCCCGGCTTGTGCGGCGCTTTCTCACTGGGAACCGAGAGGACCCACACAGGTACTGTAGCTGAGGGGGACATGACTGGACCTGGGTTGATCCAAGTAGTTACAGCTGGGAAGATAGTACTAACTTAGGGCAGGTGGCCTGATCAGGGCTCAGGTGTCCCAAAGGAGAGGGGATATGATATGATATGTCTAGTCTGGTAATGGCCCTTTCAGGCTTGTTGATTGTCCTACAGTTGCACCACATTTTAAGGGGTCTCCCAGGTGTCCTGAGCACTGAGTTCTGGAGGGCTGGCTCTGGCTTTCTGCTTTATCCCCAAAGTACATCTTCAGGATGGTCTTCACAGGTTCTCAGAGTTGGCCAAAATGCTGATACACAATACACAGGGGAAGGATGATGGTGCCACCGGAGAAGGGCAGGTGTCCTACGATGACGTCTCTGTGTTCGTGATTCCATTGCACAGCCAGGACAAAGGGAATAGTGGCCAGTGAGGACTCTATACGGCACTCTATAATCTCTTCAGGACCAGTGCAGTCTGGGCATATGTCCACTGTGGCCAAGAGTGGGCCCTGTCTGGTCTGTCCCCAGCCACAGCCGAATGCTCTTGCTTTCTGCCTTAACTATCTGTTTCAAAGAGAACAGTGGGTGGAGAGTCCCACCTTCTACAACGGTAACAGCCCTCTGGCAGAGGAACTTTACAACATATGGCATCTTTTGGCTCCTCAGCAGCCTAAAGGGTTTAGGGTGCTAAGATGCCTTGGGGAGCAGGTAGTGAGCTCATTTCTTCCAACCCATGAATGTCAGGTCATCCATTCAACCATCCATCCACACAAAGCGCCTTCTTGAAACTGAAGTGTTACATCTGCTGGATCAGCTCTTAAAAACTTTGTTTTTAAGATAGGATCTCTATTATGTCATTCTGGCTGTCCTGGGACTTGCTATGTAGACCAGGCTGGCCTTGAACTCAGAAAGATCACCTGTCTCTGCCTCCTGAGTACTGGCTGGACCAGCAATCTTGAAGACAGCTTCTGAGACCAGTTCAGATCCTGCCCTGCTCTCTGCCAGTGGAGGGCACAGGTCCCAGATAAAAGTTGGGAGAGCAAAACAGGGTGAGAGAGACTTCCAGAGTTGGCTAGGCCTGGAATCTGGAATTTGGTTGCTTTTCCCCAGCCCCAGGCCTGCCCTATACCTATGCCAACAGTGTCTGTTCTGTTGTTCCCCAGATCTTATGCCAAGTACATACACTTCTCAGCTAGGCAGTTCTTGTTTCTACCCCTCCACTTTTAGTTGCCTAGCATTGTTTCCACCCGCTCTGCTGTCCTCCTGCCCAGCCTCCAAGGATTCACTCGCCTCTCCGCCAGCACTGACCACATACAGCTTTCCCTGCAGGGACTCAGCCAGCCTCTGGTATTAAATGCTTGTATATAAAAGAGCCCTTGTGAAACATGAATTGCTCAGCTTTGGTTGACACATTTTGCCACTTCCTGTGGCCTTTCAGTGGATTCCTTTCAGTTCCACCATGCGAGTTTGCATATAATCAGGAATATTTCCTAAGCTCTGTTCCCTTGTTGCTGCTAGGGAATGAAAAGGCCTTTAACACCTATGAACTCTGGATTTTAGGCACCAAAAGGGATCACTCTCCACTTTTTAAAAATTGTTTTGCAAGTTTCACTATGTAGCCTTGGCAGTTCTGAAACTGTACTATGGCCTCAACTTTGTAATCCTTTGGCTTCTGCCTCTAGAGTTTCAGGTTTCTCACTGTGTAGGGTAGGCTGGTCTGAAACTTACATAGCCTAAGTTGGCCTCAGTCTGACTCCTTCCTCAGTCTAAATACTGAGAATCAGAGGTGTGGACCACTACCAGACTCACTTATTCCTGGATGACCTAGTGCTGTACATTTTGAGTTAGTAAGGGCTTCCTTCACATAGCCTGCTTGATAAAACTTTGTTCCTCATCTTCCCTTTAAGACTTGCCAGTCCAGTGTGGTGGTGCACACCTTTCATCCCAGCACTTGTGAGGCAATGGCTGGAAGATCTCTGAGTTTGAGGCCAGCCTGATCTACATAGTTACTTCTGGGACACCCAGGGCTTTACAGAGAAACTCCGTCTTGGCAATCCAAACCAAAACCTCTGTCGTCATCTAGAACTTACTGAGGGTCAGAAGTATCTGTTGAAATACAGTACTACATGAATTTTACCTGACTCACTCCTAACACAACCAAGGGGGCTTCAGGCAACACACAGCTCTAGACTGCAGTTAGAAGGCTTGTGTAGTTAACTCACCTGCAATGCTCAGACCCCATTTCCTCATCATAGATTTAATTTCCTGCATGTTATCCAGGGAAGACAGTACAGAACACATTGGTTCTACTTCGCATATAACATAATACAGACCCCCAGCTGGCTCACTAAGCCCCAGACAGGTGCTAGAGCATTGCTGCATAGGCTGCTGAATTTGGCTTCCTTTCTTCAGCACATCCCTCCACAGCCTCTCAACAAAGTGCAGGCAACATCCTGTGCCTGCCTCTTGCCCACACTAACTGCTGAGCCAGCTCGCCTCCACACCCTACTGCCTGTTCCTTGTGTTCACACTCGAGTGGGCACACCAAGTCTCTCCACTGCATGTTGGAGTAGTAGCTACAGCAGGCTTTCATTACATTGTGATTTTGGTGTGCACATGCCAAGACATGTGGAAATATAAGGACAAATTTCAGAAAGTGGGTTTTCTCCTTCCACCATGCAATCTAGGGGCTGAACTCAGGTTGTCATGCTTGTGTGGCAAGCACTTTCAGCTGCCGATCATCTTGCTGGACACTTCATCAATCAGGCTTTGAGGGGTCACTTAGAGTAGACCAAGCAGGAAAGCCTAGTCAACTAAACCAAGCCATTTTCTTCCCAAGTGGCAGGCCAAGGCTTTTACTTATTCTGGTTCAGTGGGGGAAGCAAGAAAGCAGGTCCTGGAGTTGTAACAATTCCCAATGCATTAGCCAACCAGGTGGCTCACCAGGCAGCCAGCTGATCTGTCAGACGCAATGCTCATCTTCCATCAAGCAGGGCTCTAGGATGCCAATTTGATCAAAGTTTGAGGTGAACAGTGCAGGGCAGACAGTGAGAAGGTCTCTGAAGGCCAGGGTTGAGTCAGGCTCACGTTCTCCAGTCACTCATTACCTGCCCTGTAGTAGTTTAATTGGAGTCTGGGATTAAGAGATGGGCCCAGGAGGTTCCTGTTGCCCACAGGCCTGAAGGAGGCCCAACAACTCACACAACATTGCAGGCATCTGAGCCAGAACATTGGCACAATCCTTCCAATTTGAAGCAGACAAATAATGTCACAGAAACCCAATGTAAAAGACTATATGCCATAAAATCCTGTTTAAGACTGGTAACATGGCAAAAAAAATTTATTTGTTAAGTACAAAAGGGACATAAAATTGTATGTACAGTAGGATAACAACTATGTAAACACACCAAAGTCTATGCACAGAGATATCTAGAGGAACATTTAACATCAAGATTAACAGTGGTACCATTTGGGTGGCAAACTGGTTCTTAAAAATCCCCAAATTTTCCTTCATAAGCAGTAATTGTCAGTTACAACGGGGAATAATTTATTAAAAAATATCCCAGTGGCTGGTGGTTGAACAGTGCAGTGTCAGCTGTCACATACAGAACAGTGGCTCTGGCTAATTTTTCAGAAGACAGTGAATAGATCCCAGGGACACACCCCTAAATTGCCAACTCTGCTTTCTCTCTTGCTTACCCTGTAACCATACAGTATCATAAATTTCAGATGCATCTTTTCCTAGCAATTCAGAACTCATTTCTGCGGCCACAGAGACCAGCAGAGGCTGTGAGGCAGTACATCTTCCAAGAACATGGTGCCCTCAGCTTTGGACATTCAGGAACACAGACAGTTTTCCTGCGGCCAGGCAAGCCACTCTACTTTCAAGGTTGTGCAGCCTTACTAATACATAGTTAACAGACATTTGCTCTCAACTGTTCCTCCAAACATGGACTCTTAGATCCCAAAGGTAGGCAGTAATATCTCTAATCACCTGGTTCTTATAGTCTGTCCACTCGGGGAAAGCAGACTGCTCAGCAACACTTAGAAACTTCAGTGAAGGTGGTCACCTTTACAGTTGGAATAACAAGCCAAAAACTGCTTAAAAAAACAGCGTTAATTGATTTGAAGCCTATGCCTGCTCCTGAACAAAAGCAGCGATGGGCAGACCGACACCCTAGCGGCTGGGTACTCATGGGCAAATCACAGCCTGCTGGGTCTTGATTTCTGGAGCTGCAGGGGTATTGCTCACATAAATGCTTGACTACCATTTGTTCCACTTTGAAGTGGCCATACTGGGAAGAAAAGGTCAGCTGCAGGTCTTCTCAGTCTGGTCCTAGCCTTCTCTCAGGAGAAAGCAAGAAAAAGGGTAACAATGCTGACATAAACAGCTGAGAAGTTCTGACAAACAAAAAACACTGTGGTTCTAGCACCCTGTCCCCAAATGCCACAAGCCAGGCACAGAAGCCATGCAAAAAGTGACTGTCACACATATATAGATGCAGACAGGGCATAATCAGGCAAATAAGATTCTAATACTGTAGAGAGGGCCCCTAAGTGTGGCTTGATTGAAGAGCACAAGGAGTCACCTCAAGGCTCTTACTTAGCTGCCATGAAAACAGCAAACACTAGAAGCTCTGCTTCACGTTGTCTCCCTAAGGTTAACAGAGAAGACTAACACTTGTGGCAAACACTACCCACAAATAGTCTTTCTTAGCTGCAGGGTTCCCTCTCCTGCTGAACTCTTGATAAACTAGACGAGAGAGAAAGTAGGCATATACACATACTTAATGTGCATGTTGCACAAATGCATTTAAGTGGACACGCACACTGTGCTCAAATACAAACAGATCAAGGGTCATATATAAAAAGGCTAAATATAACATATAACACAGGCCTAGAGCCAGCTCCTGGGTAAGAGCTGGGGAAGTGGGGTCTCATCTGCTGACTATGTACACAATTTCTGGTGGGCAGGGAAGGAAGGCATCAGTGTAAACAACTCAGACTCGTTCCACAATACTGGCCCACAGGAAAACGTGATGTGACTCAGGTACAAAAATAAACTACTACCTTGCTTTTGTTCAAGCCAAGCTCGGTAGGACCCCCACAAAAAGACTGTGGGACTGTCTTGACGGGGGAATTGCACCAGGCTGCTAAACCTTTCAGCTCTCAGAATTTACCTGCTACCCCCTTCCCTCCCTTTCAGACTCTTGGGCCTTTTGCTAGCCAACATCCAAGCCCAAGACCTGCCTCACCCACCTACACAGGAATACTGTAAAGCCTCCTGGCAAGCAAGGTCCTTCTGTATTTGTCCCATTCTTTGACCCCAAGGTATATGAAGACTTATTTTTGTAAATGTTTGGCACCTAAGAAACATGATGGTTGTGAAACAATGCCACAATTACAAAGGGAGACCCAGTAACAAGACATGCAGGGGGAGGGCAAGGGGTGCTGAGCTGCCCTAGCATCTCCAATCCACAACTGTGGCTTCCCATGCATCTCTGGGGTGGGAGAAGGATGTGAGGAAACTGGTGACTTCACTGGCTCTTCAGCAGCAAATATATTCAAAATTGGAAGGGCTCAAGGGCCCCACTGTAACCTAATCCTAAGCAGTCACCCTCTGAAGAGCTTGGTGCAGTGAGAGCTGGAAAGGCTGAGTGCCAACTGAATCTGCAGCACCAAGAGTCCTTTGGAAGGCGCTCAGCAAAGTAATTCTTTAGAGAAGATGGACAGCACATCCCTGGGAAGGCCATGTGGAAAGGTGTTCTCCAGTCCAGTCAGTCCCACTGTCATCTCAGTCACCTCTGACTTTTTCCTGGTGGCCACCCTCACTGTACAAATAGCCAAGCAGTGTCAGGGGTCAGTCATCAATGGTGGGCAGCCAGAAGGCCTGGAAGGAGAACACAAATCAGCTTCTTAAAAGTCAGGCTTCTCCTGATGGGGTTCTTCCCCATCTCACAGCATCAAGGTGCCCAACCCCAATGGTGAAGGAATTATGGTCTGGTAGCTCTTACTCCTGATCAAACCATTGTCTCCATGGAACCAGAGACACTCATTCCTTACCTTGCACCACAGCAGCCCAGTATTTTAAGGAAAAAGTAGTATTGTACAGGTAACCTAGCCTCACTGCTAATCTCAAGGCAGCCTCAATCATGCCCTTTCCTTCCAGAGTAGAAAGGAGATTTGGATGAGATGGTTTTGCTGCCTTTGAGGGCTGGGTAGCTTTTTGGTTTTTCATGATCTCAAACTCTCTCTCACTCAAATGTTTAAATTACAAGTGTGTACTAACACACCCAGCTTAAATTAGCTTTCCTTCTGTCCTTCCAGTCTGAAGGAAGCCCTTCCAGACAGGGCTTCATACATGGGAGGCACCTGCTCTAACTAAGCTGTATTTCCAGCCATTGCTGC